AAATTCGAGTGCAATTAAACACATCTTTATTATAGTAATGAATAACGAATACACGGCCAGGCTCTTCCGCGTTTTTTTCGGGCACATTTTCCGCGACTCTCATTTTGACTTTACGCCACTACTATTCTGTGTATTATTAAGGAGATGCTGCAAGGAATTAGGAATTCACTGACAGTCATTAGCAATGTTATTAACGCTTTATTAAATATTACCATTCGGATAATGGCTTATAAATTTCTTATAAAGTGCTTATAAATTAGTTATAAATTGTATGCAACAAGTACTTATAAATTCCAAGATGTATTGTATATGAATTCATAATATCTAATTATATCCAACAATAAAAATATTTTTTATTTTTTCCTACTGAAAACCGATTACGTTTAACACCAAAAATAACTATTAAATCGTAACTCTAAATCCTATAAACATATTTTAAAAATCTTTTTATAAGTAAAAATCTCTAAAGCTATTAAAAAATAAACTATTAAAAAAATTAAAAATAGATTATCTTATCTTTAATTATTACAGACAATAAATGACTTTAGTTTTATCATTGTATGACTATATTACACTTTTTACTGAAATATCATTTTTATAATATACCCCAGATACGCCTTATTCATAACACGTTGACAAGCAATTAAAAATTAATAATTTATATCAAATTATTTTAATTTTTTGAAATATTTAATTTCTGCTGAACATCATACATTTTACAAGATTTTGTATTAGGTTACTCACTCATATAAGTAATTATCTTTTCTTCCAAATCTATTTTATACTATTATTTATCTCTATTATGTATTATTAACATTTACTACGTATTTACATATTTACTTTAGTATATAATAATAATAATTAGAATATAATGTTGATTAAAGAAAATCTATGCTATATTATTTATTTATTCATTTATGAATTTATGAATTTATTATTATACAGAATCTTCATATATTATAAATAATTATGAAGATATTACGATATATTATCTTCAATATTAATTGTATTCGGTCACTTAAAATTATACTTTGTGTTTCCACGATTCTACTACAAATATTAAGAACATAATTAAATAATATTATTATTTTTTATCTTTCTTATTACGCTACACTTTTTATTAAAACAGAATTGTTTATATCACATAGTATCGATAATTACATATTAAATATTAAATAACTTACTATTTTTACTTCAACAATTTCATTCAATATACTTTAATATATATCCTTAAATACAATTTGACAATATAGTTACTTTTATTTCAATAAATAATATTATATTATTTAATACTATATTAACGAACATATAATTAATTTTAATAAATTTTATGTACGAATGATTTTTTATTTGTAATATAAAATTGATAGTAAATAATAAAATTATAATCATTTATTTTCAAGTAATTACATAAATTATACTTTAATATTTACAGAATATTAATATTTACTATTATAAAATATATTTGTAATTTATATTAATAATTTATTATAATTTATAGTTAAAGATTTTTTATTACATAAATATTTTCGCTGTTACTTTAAAAGATAATGTTAAGTTTAAAAGATATTATCAAAGTAAGAAGAATTTTTTTAAAGGATGCACCTTTCTTCATTATCTTAAAATGAATATCCTTGTTATTGGTTTAAACTAGAATCATTGATTTTATTATATCTAAAAGTTTATTTATTTTTTTAATTTAATTGATAAAAGAATATAAAAATATATACTTACAATTGTATAATGTAATAATCGAAAATGCTATAAAAATATAATTACAATAATTATGTATGAAAATATTAACAATAATAATTCGTGAACATATTAAAATTTATATTCAATACCTCTCTACACATCATTTTAATTCTTTCAATTAAATATACTCATCTTACAATTTGTAAAGCAGTAATATCAACATAAAATATGACATAATATACTATATAAATGTATACGAACAGTACATTAACACAAATTTTTAGAAACTCTACTGCAATACAAATATTATTCAAAGAATGTTATTTTTTATTTATTTATTGTCAGAATTAATTTAAAAATATTAAATATAATATATATTAAATAAAGATATATTAAATAAAAATTAATTTTTTTTAAAAGTAACTTTTTGCTATAATAACTATAAATATATTCATTAGGAAATAATTCGAATATGGCTATATAATATCTCCTATAAATAATAAATTACAATTCAAATTTTTTACTTATTACTTTCAAACAAATGTTTTTATTAATTTCTTCATTATATTAATCAACTAAAATATTTACTTGGTGATACTTATATCAAAATAAATGAAATTAAATACAAGTAAGAAAATTTTTTTATAATTTCATAATGTTTAATTCGATTATTTTTACAAATTGTAATTGACGCAATTAGTTAAAATAATTATTGTTAAATTAAAACTTACTCTATAGCTTATTTTAAATAACGAATTACACCATTTAAATTGTCCGTATTTTGCATTATATAATATTTTAAAAATATAAAGAATAGATTAGTATGAATCTTTGAATACATCATTTGTTAGTTATAGTAATTACTATTAACTACTTTTTTAACTTTTATTCGAGTTATTCTAAAATATTTATTTATATAGTTTTATTTCTTGATAGTTATTGACGTAACTAAATATTAATAAATTCGTAGAAATTATTTAAAAACTCTAATTCTAGTATACAATATAATATATTTAAATACTTTCTATAGCAATTTTGTTATCAATAAAAGTATCATTCATAATAATATAGATATATGTATATAGAAAATAAAAATAAATAAATAATATTTGTCTCTATGACTTATTAATGAAAATTCTTCTAGAATTTACATTTATAAATAGTTAATAAGTATGTTACTTTTTTATTTCACGATGAGCATTATATGTTTATAAACTCTTCTTTTATCAATAGCTAATAATGAATGATTGAAGTTATCAATAAAGAGAAAATATCTTGTTTGTAGATTAATATCGCATAAAGCGAGGGAAATTAGGCAACCAAATAGAAATATGATTTATTATTGTGAGTTTCCATAAATGTCTTCCTCCTTTTTATCTTTTTTCATTGTCTTTCACCAGTATTAAATTATTTAACACAAAAAATTAAATCGAATCGTAGTTGATAAGTTTTGTATCTTGTTCGTTGGATCGATCCTTTCTTCAGTGCCACTGATTTTTTTATATGTTTAAATTATAAGATATCATTAGATTTTATGTGTTTTATTTTAACTATAAATTATGAAATATTCATTAACTAAATGTCTAGGAACTAGCTACTAATCGCAATTCTAAGATATAATTTGAATTCTAATCAGTAACAATGTCTTACTACGACTAAATAAATATTAACGATGGTGTTCAAGTTCAAAGAAATGAAGATTATAACTTCGATATAAATCTTTTATTAGAAAAAACTAATTTATATAATCGCCGACGACCTTCTTAAATTATACAACTTTAAATATAATTTAAATATAAATCCACTGAACAAAGATATATATATATATATATATATACGTATACATGGCAATCCCTAAAGAATTGTCCTCAATTTTGTAATCATAATATTTGTATGCAACATAAATATAAATTAGAAATATGTTTATATTTAGGAATAATTGAAAAATTTATCATTAACGTCAGTATCAAAATTATATAACCTACACATGTATACGTCATCCCCAAGGTTACGAATATGCTGTTATCAATTTCCATTTACTGTTAAATATACTGATACATGAAAAATATCTACATAATATGTTTAATCATATGTATGTATATTCGCTTTTCGCAAATGAACATAAAGTTCTTTAACTACAAAAATTCATTAATTAATATTAATATTACAATATTGATTAATAAATTACAATGTTAAAATGTTTATAAAAATGTATTCGAAAAAATATTTTGATATAATGTCAAGTCACTGAATGTCCTATTTTAGATTTTGATTTTAAAATTAAAATCTACGTTATTTAAAAATATTCAACTTTTTATTAACTTACATATCAAATACTGTATTATTCGTTTAGTTGGAATTATAATTACTTGAATTTTTTTAAAGAATAAGTATACCTAAATTAAATTTATTTATGTAAAATGATGTTCCATAAATATAAACTGTAATTCTGTATAGAGGTACTATAATTGATGAGGAGAATTTTGAATAATAAAGTTACATTTATTGTAATTTATACGCAAAAGTATTTGAAATTATCCGAAATGATATCTGTTTCAATTCTTTGTCATTTTATTCTAGCTATCTCAGTTTTGAATGAAACATTTAATATTTAAAATGTTATGATTAATATTTTATATGGTATTTATTGTAAAAAATTAATTCGTATTTTCGAATTTTTCTTATTTATGAAGGTATTTACTTGGAATAACACCATTCCATAAATTATTTTTTTTTAATAATACACTGCTTATATTAATATTCCTTATAAATTACTGCTCATGTTATATTTCTATATTTATAACTAATTTATAGTTCTTATATAAATAAAAATAAATCATTTATATAATAGATATATATTATTGACTATATCTCATCATATTCAATACAGCTCAAATTTAAATTATATTATAGAGTTACTTTAAAACAAAAGTTTTAAATGAATCATAGAAATATATGGATCTAAAATTATTCTTATTTGTTATATACTTAGATAAACGTATAGAATATTTATTTTTATTGAATAATTTATAAATTTGGTTCGTAATTTATATTGAAATTGCTCAACAACTCAATTGCTTTATATTGACTACAAGAAAAATAAACGACATACGCAAAATAATTTTATTGTCTAATTTCATTAGCAATTTATATATTTTATATTATCTAATTTATATATTTATTTTTATATTATAATAACTTTTTAATTTCATATTTTACAGTGCAATTCTAATAAATAAAAAAATTAATCAATTTAAATAAGTATTTTTCTAATTTTGTTTTCATATTTTTTATTTCAGATTATTTGCACATGAATGCCTGAATAATTATTTGCAAAAGCTCAACTATAAAAATGGCATCAGTTGGTGTTCCCTTTTTATTTATTACAGCCAATGTCGGAAGTATCTTTGAAGAGGTAACAACTACATTTTCGTAGTTTAATTAATCAATAGCCAAATTTTCTTTTCACATGACTAAAAAATGCTTCTAATTATTATAAAATGTATAATGCAGTATTTAAATAAATAACAATTGTATTTCTTAATTGAAGATAATGTTTTAATTGATAGAGTTACATTACATTATTTAATAATTGAATCAATACGTTATTTGTAGTTAAAAGATTTGTGTTGAATCAATACTACAATAAATATGGATATTATTTGATTGATTCATTATTTAATTAATTCATATACACAAAAATAATTTATTTATATTTGTTTTATATAGTTGAAATTGATGAAAATAATATTAATTCCCATGTGTAGTATTTAATACTTTGTCTAGCGACGATTTATCTATGCCAATCTATACCAATCTATCAATATCCCTCTTTAAAAACCGTCATCACATCTATAAAATTGAAATATTTTCAATACTAATTAATAAACTTGGTCATTAAATTATTTCTTATTCATAATATTTTTTATTCATTCTTAAAATTTTATCTCCATTATAGTTTGACTTTTATATGTTTAATCGATACCTTATTATCCATATCATCCGATTATGATTTTGCATAATTCCAATGAATTCAGTTTTATCCATATACAACCCTATCTGCAAAATATCATAAATTATAATCTTATTGATTTATGAATTTTATAATTATTAATAAACGCTACAATTCCCTTATTTGAATATAAATTTTGTCTCTAGAGTTCTAAGACTTGGTTATAATAATGATTTTATTCATAAATTCTTTGAATATTTATAATTTATACTAATTAGTTATATTCATAAAAAACAATATATTATTGATTTTTATTATGTATATAGTATTATAATGAAAAAATTATAGTACAATGATAAATAAAGAAATATTATATATTTTTAGTTTGTGAACTTAATTTTTGAAAATTTTGAAAATGCTTTCATATTACACAAAGTTTAGTCGTATACGTATGCATTATAGTAGCTGCATTTCATTGTGTAGTATAGTAGGTGCATGCATTATTTTAGGCACTCTGTATAGTTTATTGAATTTCTTTTATTTTATTAAATAAATAAAATTAATTTATATTTCAAATGATACTTATTGTTATAGATTTCTGTGTACGAATTAATTTAAAAATGAAATAACTTAATAAAAATTGTTTATCTCTCTTTATGGTTTTAGCCAGACGTAATGCTAAAAATTTGGACTGAAGAATTTTTATCCGTAAGTTGATAGATAAATATATAGAATTTAAATAAATCATTGCTAATTATAATGTAAATAATAACATTAAAAATTTTAATAAAAAGAGTTTTTATTTTAATTTATTACGTAAAATTATCAATTTCACTTTTCAGACGGTATCACGACTCGATCCCAAATTTATTGCCTTACATTGCCAGGAAGTCGGGGGAAAAAATTACGCTGAAAGTATGAGGCATGTTGAAGATTTTATAAGGTATATATATATATATATATATATGTGTGTGTGTGTGTGTGCGCGCGCGTGTGTGTGTGTGTGTCCATCATATATTAAATATAAGTACCTATTTATATAATATTATATTTAAATTACATAGAATCTGATAATTAAAATGAATTAATAATTACTTGATAGCAAATATATTTGAAATTTTTGCAAAAAATAATCGAGATAAAATATTTTTTATGTAAACCCATGCTTTAATTTAAAATAGATCTACGCTACTTATCAAGAAACTATTTTTTGAACTACAAAAAAATTCGAGAATTATTTTTTGTGATTGATACATTCATTAAAATCTACAATTTTCCAAATTTATTGAAATACATATAAATAGTAATTTTAAATCAATATAAATAGATACACTTGATTAAACTGTAATAAAATATTTTCAGAACAATGAAAATTATCGTTACTAAAAAACTTACTATAAACTTCAAGAAGGTTTCAAAGAATAATAACTATATCTTAAACAATCGTATGATTTATATGAATAAAATAAGTATAAATAATTATATATATAAATTATATATATAAAAATAATTATAAAATAAAATAAGAATAAAATATGAATTATATTTAATAGTTAAAAATAATTATTAAGCACTCATTTTTCTAATGCCAATGGCATGTTTCAGCATATGAAATATAAGTTATAATAAATATCATATGTCAAAATATAATTTTCTATTTTAACATCTAATAATCTTGAATAATCGAGTCCCTCTTTAACCGTAATATTTTAGATAATGGATTAACATGTTTACAATATACGTTTTGTTTTCAATATATTTTTTAATATGTTTTTAATAGACATACAACATATTTGCAACATAAATTTTTATTAATACTATAATTGCTTTAAATATACCTCTTAATTGCTGAAAACGAACAAAATAATAAAATAATTATGAATGATGCCCTATACCCGAAGCATAACAATAGCCTAAATCAAGTCAAAATATTCGCCACTCTTACCTCGTCACATTTTATTATGAGTTTATTCCCTATATTTACATCGCCCGTCTCTATCACTCAACATCTTTTTGCATCTTTCCCACTTTTTGCAGCACTATTAATTGTATATAATTATGTGATAAACAAATTAGGAATTTCCAAATTGTTTTAATTAATACCCCTCACTTGACTGTGCATAGTTATGTAACTTAAAGTGCTTGAACTTCTTATGACAAATAACTCACGGATAATTTCCACACATAATTTCGCTTATACTATATTAAAAACTTGAATTAACAATATTCAGATTGAACAGACATAAATCATTTAGCAAATAGAATGTATGTTCCTTATATAAACTGTTATGATTATGAAAACTATACATATTGTAATGTTTTGTCAAAATAAAAAATCAATTGTTAAATCTTTTATGAATCTGGAATAATTATATCTTTATTAAATTAATGATTATTATATCAACTTATTCAGTTTAATTTATATTACATATGCATGTAACTAATAATTGAATATAATAATATTAATAATTTGAGTGAAATATTGAAATCTATTTACATTAATATATAGTATTAGTCAAATTTAAAATGAAAATATAGAATAATTTATTATAACTAAAAATAAGTAAATATTCTTAAAATTGAATAATATTTATGTATCAATTATACTTCTTACAATTTAAATTATATATATATATATAATTATGCTAGAATTTAATTAGAAATTATAAATAACTGTATCTTATTAAGTAGCACATCTCATATAAAATATACATAAAATCGACTTCTTTATACCGTTTTACATTAGTTTTAAAAAAAAATAAATTAAGTTCGTTCTATTTTTAAGTACAGATTTTATTAAAAAACATTATCAGATTCCTTTAAATATTAAGTATTCAAATAAATATTAGAGATATATTATATATTATATAAATATTATATATTATATATTGTATAAATATTATATATTATATATTATATAAATATTATATATTATCTTCAAATAAAGATAGTTCTCTTTTAATAACTCACATTTCATTGTTTTGCATTTCTTCAAATAAAGATAGTTCTCTTTTAATAACTCACATTTCATTGCTAGTACTCTAATTATAAATTTTAGAAAATATTAATACAATTGTAATATTTTTCCATAATAAAATTTGTAATTGCTTACCTTATGTAATTAAGTATTATCATAAACTTTAGAATTTGATGGTTAGTGGTAACACTTTTCAATATATGTACATGAATAGAAAATGTACGTTGAAACTTAATCTGAAAATTAAATTTTCATACTAATTCATATATTATGTCATACATTAATACAAAAAAATAAAATCAATTTACTATTATTTATACAGTTTAATCGTTTATTTTAAAATATGTTCACTCACTATGTCCATCAAATATATGAGTAATAAATTTAAGTTCGTTCAAAGTTTCATTAAATTCAATGAAATAACTGTCATTTAAGAATTATCAACATTTTATATTATATTAAAATACATAAGGAATATTTACTGATATTTACTTTATACTATAAAGTGAAGTTTTGGTTGAGAATAAAATATTATTATTTTATTATATAATATTATTATTATTTATTAAAAAATATTGGTTTCTTAATATTATAAAGCACTTGTTATTTTCGCTATATAGAACAAGATTGATTTGTGTTGGGTTATTAGTGTTGAATTCTACGTATTTTAAAGTATTTACATCAGTAAAGGTTGAAAATTATTTTTATATAAAATACATATCACGATATGCAGCATAAAATGGATCATTTTACTGAATTTCACAAAACTTTAAAAATTGAAAATGTGTAATCGATATACATCGGACATCAGTACATACTCACCAGTTAGAAAGTTAGAAACATAAAGTTGGTGTACATCGATTAAACCAAAAAGACATAGTATAAACTTAATTTGTATTTCCACAGCCAATATACAAAAGTGTGAGCATGCGTATTAGTGTTTATGCATGTATATACATGTCCGATAATAAATCAATAAGAAATTTTTAATAAAGTCCAGATAAGGAATAATGGAAAAATGAGTTTCAAACTTGGAAAGAGAAAGAAACAGAATGAAATAGAGAAATACAGAGATAACAAAAACGCTGAAGGATTGAGGCGATTAAAAATAGACATAATACTTTGATTGACGCTACAATAGTTGATCAAATCACTTCCAAGAATTTAGGAATATTTGTAACAAATTAAATGGAAAAATATGAATCATTCATTACAAGGATGATTAATAACTCAATAGTGTCAACGTACTCGACACCGGATTGATATGAAAGAACCTGCACTATATAATTCCCTATATTATGTCACAACTATGTCACTTGTATTTTTTAAAAAAATCCTTTCGTATTAGTTTTCAATATTCGTTCAGATATGAACGAATAAGAATATGAAAAAATAATCGTATTGATTAATATTAATATTTTCTCTTACATATCAATATTACCACCGAAATGCAGATTTTAAAGGTATTCAAGTTATTAATAAAAAATATTTGTTATAAACTGCTATATCGTTATAAATAATATTTCGTATAATATTTAATACGTAAATTTCAGAATTTTTAATTATAAATGTCTATATATATATTATTTAAACATTACTTATAATAGATTAGCTGTTAATTCTCTTTCTTTTTTTGAATGGTAAATCATAATGAAGGATTTTGCATAATTAAATGTAAAGTATCATAATAAATTAAATAAAAAGCTTTATTGTCAAATCAATTATTTTTCAAATATTGTAAAATAATACTTATACCACAGGTACTCAAATTACTTTATTTAAGCCACGAAATCCTGGTTTGATAAAATTTTGATGGAAATAATTATCTATAAAATATAGATAAAGATCTATAAATCATTATGAACTTATACAATAGTATACAAACTATAAGAAATATAGATAGTGTTTGTATCATATTAAATTATTTAATTTTAATTATTTCATGTTAAATATAATACTTATGATTGATTCTGATTTACTACAATATAATTACAATGACTAATGTACATCCATTGTATTTATTCTATCAATATGCAATCTTTTTTAAATATTATTATGTAATTTTTTATTATATATTTATTAATTTTTTAACTTTTCTTTTACATGTGGTCATTCTTATAGATTATTAATGTCCTCAGAAGAATTGCGATTATTTGATAAAGTCAGAGTTTTTCTAGATGAAGATTTTTCCTCTGCTGAGTGTTTTACAGTAAGTTATTTATTTTATTATTTAAACGAAATTAAGTTTACGATAGATAAAACCATTATAAATATAATAACGTTTTTATTGACAGTAAACGAGAACATATAATATAAATAAATTTTAACAAAGCATAATCTACAATAATATGTCGATAGTTAAAATAAATGTATTTAAAAATTATTATTTTATCCTGTTATATTTTAATATTACATTTATTGCAATTTTCCAGTATTTGAATTAAGATTATAATTTAACAAGACCATATTTAATACATTTAATAAGAATATGACTACTAAATAAATGGAAATTGAAATGTCAATAAATCAATATGTCATGACACCAATATCAATAATCACGGCATTTTTAAGAAAATCAGTTATCATATTTATTGCTTAATAAACGATCACTACAAAAATAGAATTATAATTCAATATTAATCAATGTTTTAGGCACTTGGCAATTTATATTTTGCCCACGAAAATTTGAAGGAGGTGTTATTATGGGATTTTAAAGGTATCTTCAATTTATTTTATTTTTTCTCTTTAATAAATAATTTTTTTAAATTATACAATTATATGCAACATAATGAAATAAGTTTTTGGTGATTTTATTTTTACACAAATATAATATCTATTTGTATTAAAATTGCTGTACTATTCTTAATATCATATTTTGTTTATTATCTAACAAAAAATTATAACAAAATTCACAGGCTATATTATTTTAAATATAAAAATTAGTTTTTTTATCTATTTTACGAAAGTATTTAATTAGTTATAAATAATATTAGTTAATATATTGGCGAAAAGACTATTTCTTATATACAATAGTTTAATCATAATTTTTTCAATGAAAATTATAATGAGAATTCATTATTTTTTTACAATTTCAGTAAATATAATTTGTTAAATTTTTTAAATCTAAATTAATATAGTAATAAATTTATTATTATAACCAGAGTTAAAAATATTATAAATTAACTCTTAAAATTAGTAATTTGATCCTTTGTGCTATAAAATTTGATTTAATTAAAAATTTTATTTTAAAAAATATCCCGATCCTTCGATGACTCAAAAAAACATTTTGATATATTATACAAGCATTATTGAATGTTTTTATATTTTAAAAAATTGCATATAACTTAAATGTTATAAGAAAATGAAAATTTTCATTTATCTAATAAATATTTTATAATATAAATCTTAGAAAGATAGTTGTTTAAATATTTTGGAAAAAAATAAATTTATTATGTTTTGTATGTATAATATTTTTTAATTATAAAAATACCTACTCTCTTTTTAGTCTTGTATAAAATAAAAGTGTTTAGTAATTTTTTTGAGATTAAATGAATAGTATAAACATAACTCCTCTTTATAGAGGGAATTTTCATACCAGCGAATGGACGAGAAATAAACTCGGGTAACATAGAAGGAGTGACGACCAAAGAAAAAGCTAAATTTCCGCAAGATTTCTTTCCCGAGTGTAAATGGTCGAGGAAAGGATTTCTTAGAACAAGATGGAGTATCAGCGGCACAGTATTTGATCTCATAAACATTCATTTATTCCACGATGCTAGTAATTTTATCGCAATGGAAACGGTAAGTACTAGGACCTTATCATAGAATTTTTTAAAAATATTGTTTATTTTAATTAAATATATATGAATAACCTTAACAATGGTTATAATAATTATATAAGAATATATATAAGAATTTAAATTTCTAATCAGGGTAAATGAATGAATATTCGACCAATATAATATAATTAAACCGATATCATTAACATATCGTAATTTAAAAATTCTATTCTCAAAATCAGTTTACTTCGTCTGTACTAATATTTAACAGATTTTCTAGCACTATATTTATTTAATAATGTCATGTTCGATAATTTTATTATAATAAATCTTTTATCTAATCTTATAAGTTAACTATGTAAATAATTATTTAAAAAAATTAATATTACGAAAACCAATAAAATTACAACTTTGCAATATTAAAAAAAAACTCAGTATATGCTATTTAGTCCTGACTGTTTAAAGTTTTATATTAGCTTACAGCGTATATAAAGAGAAAAAAAATTGTTTTTATGCTCAAATTAAACGATCAAACATTAGATTAAAAATCGCTAAGTTCAAAACGTATTTCAAATGGAAAAATGTTTTCTATCCAATGGACCCAGTAACTTATCAATTAAATAATTAAATAATATATTATAAAAGCATTACAAAACACGTAGCTCTAAAATTATTTGTAAATCATAAAATTAATACTGTAATATTACCAATGATATATTAACATTGATATATATTACCAATTATAAGAAAATAATATGTTGAATTTTAATTAAACTTGACTAAATAAACGCTTTTCCTTTTCAGTTTCCATCAGTATATAGTAAAACACGACGAAGAGCTTTGGAGCATACGTTAGATAGGTTTCACAACGACCATTATCCAAATTCCCCCTACTTCCTTTTTGGAGATTTTAATTTTAGAACAGACACAGCCGGTGTCATCAAGGTACGTAAAATTGTTGTAATTTTATCTATACCAATTTGATTGCATGAATTTAAATTGATGCATTAGCGTTTTAATATTATTTTATTAATGCAAGCTTTTTAAATGTTTATATAATAAGCCATACTTTGCACTAAACTTACATATAATTATCGTAGGATTGAACGGATTTTTTTACGAGCCGGATTGCATTCAAGAGATCAATATATTTATTCACATAAAGTTATTTTAAAAATTGTAAAATAAAATTCTACAATAAAAAATTTCAAATACATTAAAACTAAACATTATCAATTCTTAACATAGTAAGATATCATACTGATTATACCAAGTCATTGATAATTTTAAGTAGTAGTTTTAAAAAATATAAGCTAGTACAACAATTAAATACCTCAGAATTAGAATAAAATGTGAAAAATGAAATTTAAATTTAAATATCCAACAAATTTATAAAGATAATATATTTTAAAGTAGTATAAAACATTAATCATATGATTAGTTAGAGTGTGATTATAAATGCTCGTCTGATATCCAGTAAAAATAATGTTTTTATTTGTATTGAAAATTTAAAATAATTTAAGTATTATAATTCATATGTAATCTAAAAATATTCGATAAAAATTCCATATGCTATAAGTAATTTTAATTTCAAATTATTTAGATTTTAAAGAAGAATTTTGTTTCAAGTATCGATTAAAACTTCAAAGAAAACAGTTTTATCTAAATATTTATAATTATATTAGGTATCACTTCTTGAATTATATTATGTATCAAGTCTTCAATAATTCCCATTTCATATACCAAAAGCAGTACTTTTAATTTTTCGTTGATAATATCTAGTATATCATAACTTAGAAAATATATTTACGTATAGCCAATAAAAATAAATGATATACATTGTAATTTTTTAAATAAATGAAGAAGCAATAATGATGTTATAAAAAAGAAAACTATACAAATATTTAATGTAGTAATTAATTAAATAAACACAATTGTATTAATATTTATAAAAATGAAATTAGAAAATTATGAACTAAAATTACGAGAGATATGAATATGACATATACAAGAAAAAATAAATGTACTTCAAATACTTAAAGTAATAAAGAAATTTTAATTATAAACTTTTGTAGATTATAAATATAATTTAAAAAAATATAGCAAATTTAATTTAAATTAATGGTTAACCAGTAAACGTATAATTTTCAATGATTAAGCTGCACTTCTTACAGTTGAACTTTAATAAATCCTCTTTTATAAATTACTGCTTCTTTTAAAAATGTACCCATAATTTTTTTCTTCGATAGAAATTGACGGCAGAGACACGCGAGAAGAAACAATCCAACAAGGGAAATCTCTCAAAGTTGCAATTTCACAACGAACGTGACGATCTCATTCTAACCCTCGGCAAAAAAGAATTCTCACATCATGCGCATCAGCATATCTTCGCGGAAAACAGTGGCGAATGGGTAAGGTGCTGGGCACGTGTTTTTTACATTCTACCGTCGATTAATTAACCAAGTGAATAATGGTATGATCGTTACTTTTTAAACATAATGGCTTTTTAAAGATAAGTGTAATGAGTTCAAATAAAAGAGGGGAAGTTTCGTTTTAATGGATTAATAGATTCAACAATAATTGTTATACTTATATTTTGTAAATATATTATGCATTGCGTGATTCGCAGGAATTGCAGCAATTTTAAATAACATCTATTAAAAGCGAAGTATTAAAAGATCCGAAATATTTTGTATAACTATACGTCATTTTATTAAAATTTATTAAAAAATGTATCATTTTAAAGAGAATTAAAATAAAACAGATCATCGTTTTATTACTGGAAATATACTTTATTTGCCACATTTTAAAAAATTGAAATCGTTATTAATTATAAATTATAGATATACATTGTTACTAGCTCCTCAACTTCTATACGTAATTAAACTTTTTACAGAAAATGTTGTGATTTCTCTTATAAGCTACATTCGTGTATTCTAATTATATTAATTATTTTCATGTGCAGACATACGTGTTATAAGTAAAATTTTAAAATATTTATCATAAAAATTATATTATAATAATAGGTAAACGGAAATATTTTATATACCAATTCAAATAAAATATAATTTTAATTATTTTGAAATAAATCAGTAGCAGTGTTACAGTTATATAATTTACTATATTCAATTATTTCGATGTCATTAAAAATAATGTTACGAACGATGAAATAAATAAATAAATAAAATTGTATCTTTTACAATATTATTGACAATTGACAGTCCTAACGTATCTAATGTACCCTATATAGATCTTTAATTACAATCGAAGTGAAATTAAAAATCTATAAAATCGTATTTAAATGTATTCCTTGGTAAAAATTTCCAGTCCAATACACTTGCTTCGTGCTGCATGAAAATATATTATTATTCTTTATAAAATTATTCAAATTTCATAATATATCAAGATATATAAATAAATATTTTTATTTATGCTCTTAAAATCATATTTTTTTATTAATTTTGTTGACATTGCGTAACTTAACATTTCATTTCAGTTTATGAAACATTATTTTTCGATGTGTCAATTCTCTAATAATTTATAAGCTTGAATACAAATTCCATAAAATAGAACAGCTTAAAAAATAATGATGAATCAATATTTTTGCAATAATTCTAATTCGGTTACTTGATCATAGTCTCGAAACAAAATTCATTACTTAAGGTTAAATAATATAAAAATCATATTTGTACTACAAAAGATAAATAACGATAATAATATTATTATGAATAAAAATGACAATGATAATAATAATTATAATAATAATAATAATTTATTTTATTATTATGTATGAAATGTATAGATATTATTACGTATCAATAAAATAATATGTAAGAATTGTATTAAAATTTGAAAATTTACAAATTTTCAACGAAAATTAAAAGTTTATTTAAATTACTTTAACCAAATTTTTTTAACCAGTTGTATATAAACTTTTTTTTGTGTATGCAATGTTATTTTCAATATAAAAAATAATATACAAATAATATAATATAAGAAATATTTAAGAAAATATTTGAAAATAAGATATATATATGTATTTATATAAAAAAAATTAAGAAATATTTTTAAAAGTTTTAAATTAATTTAAACACATGTTTCATTAAATAAGTATTTATTAAAAATAAGGTATCGTTTTAATTAGCAAATAACATCTATTTTTAACGAATCTACAACATCCATATTTTATTATGTTTAAATACTAATTTAAGCGACTTATTTTACTATATATATTATCGCTAGCTTCGGGAGTATGATAAGGAGTTGAGGGACTTTAACGGGCGGCTGTTCGAGTTCCCGATTCGCTTCTTGCCAAGTTATCCTTTTAAGGAAGACGTTAAAGAAGGAACAAACTATATGCAGACTCGTGTACCGGCATGGTGTGATCGAGTATTACTAAGCCCATCCGCGAAATCGCTTATCAAGGATGTGAGTTCATTCATAATTTTATGAATATTATGTATAAGCAAACTGACTACAAAACAATAATCAGCTTTTAATTTAATAAGAAGATAAAATCATTTTTGAAATTTTATTAGTACATATAATTATTACAATAATTAGTACACGTAAATATAACTGGCGATTGTTTGAAGTTTTTCTTGTCTTGTAAGATCAACTTATGAGTTAAAAATGTTAAAATTTTATTTATAAATTTATATTAAATACAAAATTTATACTTGATATATTTGTAAAATTTCTTATAATTACAAATCTAATAGTATTTACATTATATTGAGCGTTTTATTTATTTCATACATTAGTTAAATCGCCAATACAAAGTTTCTTGCTCAAAATATCTGTATTACGTATATTATAATAAATGAAAATGAACATTGATAAAATCATATTTTATCGATATTCACTTCACTTAAATTTAAAAATGTTAGAAATTAGAATAATTTGCATATCATTACAGATCAAATTGTAGTACAACAGATGAATCATTAAATAAAATAGGTTTATACAATAGGTTTATAATTATAAAATTAGTTTTAAATACTACCATACAGTAATGCCTACTAACATTAGTTTATTATGAACATACTGTATAATTAAACTCATATTTTATATAACATTAGTTGATAATTACGTATTTCAGGTACACCATTAACATTCAAATAAAAACCTGTATGATAAAGAGAATTTTAATTATTTATAATATAGTAATTAAAAAAATATTTATAAAATTAAATAATCGTATACATAATGGCAATATATGAATAAATTTATTGAAATATAATAATTATATATGTCAAAAATTTACTTACATGTTTTATTTAAATTAATTTTGTGTTATAGTTTATATTTATTTCAATTTATTTCAATTAGTTTAGGAAAATCTAAAACTGTACTTTATTAATAATACTCTCTTTGATAAATAAAATCGTTAATATGCATAAGTTTTAAATAAATTTTTTTAATGCAAATATTTATTATTTTTTACATCGTTAATTAATCATTAATCGTTAATCGTTAAAACCATTTTACTATGGTTTCATTGTGCAGATTACGTTGCCCAATGCTATCGAGTATGGTATTATCGGACAACTTGCATGCATGGGAGATCACAAGGTATGTATTAGATATTTAATTATAATAAAATATAATAAAATAAGAATAAAATAAAATAACTAATGAATCAAAATAAGTTAAAGTAAAATCAATTTTATTAGTAACATTTTTTAAATATTCGGTAAAAACTGAAACTAGTTTTTAAATTGTTTAAATAAGGGCAATGTGCATATTGTGTTTCGTGATTTTTTATTCTGATAGTAAAATTTTAATTATTATATGGCTGCAGCCTGTTTTCCTGGAGTTTCGAATGAATATCTAACTCGACGTCGAGGTACCTATTTCATTCCCTCTCTCTCTCTCTCTCTCTCTCTCTCTCTCTCTCTCTCTCTCTCTTGTTATTTGAAATCCTGTTATCGTATTGCTATTTTCATTGTATCAGTACAATTTATGTATTTTAGTACTAATATGTAATTGTATATTGACAACATTTTTTTTATATTTTATAAATATCTCGTTATACATAATATAATTCTGTTCTATCCCTAGTTATATTTACATTTCACTATTATCATTAGAATTTAACCCTTGTTAGATTCATTACTATATACTAATACATGTTTTAAATTATTTATTAAAGTATTTTCAATTTTAGATCAACTAGTTTTTCATTTCAATTATATAGTTTATGATTTCATCTACATTCATTTAAACAGCCTGCTTGATCGCCCTATTGATTAAATAATACGTGTGATTAAATATTCCTTCATTTTCGCTTATTCTAGAAGAAATTACTATGATAAAACGTGTGATTAAAGTATTAGTATTAAATTATATAGTATTTTGATTAAACTACCAATTTTAATTTAATATCCGGATGATACACTATTTACATTTATATCATTCAATTATTTATTAAGATGTACGTGTCACATTCTGATAATAGCTAAGAGCTTTTTTGTGATATTTTCTCATTCTTGTAATTATTAATATAACTTTATTGTATCATAATTTACAAAATAACAAAAACCAATAAATAGAAAATCATTTCAATCTATAAATAAATTAAAATCTATAAAATTAATGATATATTGATTCCTAATAATGTATTAATAAGGTATTTAAATATTGATTTTTCAAAAATACTGAAGTATTATTATAATTATATTAATGTAAACATACAAATAATATTAGATCCATGCTTTATGACTCCTTGTCATTATTTTCTAAATATTATTTAAGATAAAATAATTTTATTCTAAAAGTAATATTAATTATAATGAAACTTTCAGTTTCGGATAAAATTGATAACCAATATATATGCATTTTATGTATTCTTTTATAAACAAATTCCACCAATTAGAAAAAGTATTTGATAATAGTTATACTATTGCTAGAATTATTAAAGGATAATAGACATTTAATTACTTATTTATCATTCATTCATCCTAACTATTGCCCTACATAATATATTATCTCTTCCAGTCAAAATAATTAGTAACTAATTTAATTGAACTACTTATATATGATTATATTCATGCGTGTAAATGAAATAAATATTCATGGTAATTAGAAATATTATTATGTCTTCTACTATTACAAAATAGTTCAGATATCACAAAATAGGTTTTTGTGTGATACTTATCAAAAAATACGTACAACCATAGTTTAAGAATATATTCTCCGTCACCTGTCAATAAATGAACAAAATTTGAAATCTGAAAATACGATTTTTTTAAATCTATAAACTATGTCTGCATAATTTTCTATAGGAATAATTAAAATATCATATTTCGTATAAATTTAAATACATTTTATATACTTTATACGAATTTTAAAATGTTTTACTTATTAAATTCAGTTATTAACATATCTAAAATTATTTGATATAATAATAATAAAATTAAATATAAAACCTCAATTAACTGTTACACATATTTTAAAAATAACACACGGTGATTAAGTACTTGTACAGGTTTTGTAATTTATTATTACATATCTATTATCAACGTAATATTTAAATTAAATGTAAATTAAAACTAATGTCAAATATGTAGCAAACAATAATTAATTATTTAATTTCTTATAAAATTTTGATTTATACTTATTTCCCGTAAATGAGGATAATAATTTTACAATAAACATTCTTTATTTATTTTGTATGAAAATAGCGCAGTTTAATTTATCTGTATAGTTGAAAATTAATAAAATAAAATAAAAATTTACTTGACGAGTATGTAAGTACGCGAGCTAGTAAGTACTGTTTAAAAACTAACTATAAAAGAATAAGAATAAATTAAAAGTAACCATATAATAACAAAATAATTAAATTTAATCTTTAAAATTCATAATTTTAAAGAATAGGGTAAGAAAACGTTTAAAATTGAAATATTAATGCAGTTTCCTGTTCAGGTACATTTGATCTTTTATTACTTTAATAACAAGCATGCTGTAAGAATCAGAGTACAACGTAAATAATTGAATCTATACCATGACTTGGGAATACACAATTAAACATAATTGATATTCTATCATATAAGTAATATTTTAATATTTAATGAATGATAATATAATATTTGATATCACACAGTATTAATTTTCCCGCGATTTTTTCTTATATTTATAAGTTCAAAATTATCATTGGAAAAGAAAATGCCTTTAAGACATATGTACTAACAAATATGCATATGTTTATACAAAATTATAAACTGAAATAACAATTTCGCTTTTACGAAATGATATAAGAAGAATTTTTAAAAGCATTCTCTTTTGCATGAGTTACGCTTTTAGTTTTAGTATCATCATTAACAGCAGATAAAAGCAGAAGCAACCTATCTTTAATTAGAAATTGATCGAACGGAAAATGTTCACCCTATCATAATCAGACTTTCTACACACATTGTCATTTGTTTCTCCTTTTAATGTGTTTCCAGCCAGTCTACCTGAAGGTTGCGCTAATCTCGGATGCAGGTATGATAAATTGCTGCATTACTGTGGGCTCTGAGCTCTGCTTTCGCGTGCCAGAAAGCTACTCGACTTCTGAACACCTACCACTCACCACATCCCCACTATTATCCTCTTCGTCAGTCCTGCCTAGCTGTTGTAGTTGTGCACGTGTTGCGACAATTGAACACTCGTCGCACAATAACCTCCTGCATGCAGCCCCTTTTAAGCATGATCCTTACACTCCGGACAGCATGGACAGTCCAAGCCCCAACGCGATTATTGTCGCCTCGGAGGATATACCACCAAATTTGGATATGCAATCTATCTCAAGCACTGATGAGCAATCGGAAAATATACAAGAAAAATGCGAACGACCAATTAAGCATTTCGATAGGGCTGTATCACCATCTCTACTTAAGTCAAAACTGGAGTTAATTGCCGAGAGAAGTCTATGGGAGAAATACAGCAGATGTGGATCCGCTTCTGCATCTAATTCTAGCTCCGATACTGGTAATGGTAATGGTAATCCAGACAGTGACCAATGGAGTGCGAGGAAAAGTCGTAGTAGCAGTGACATTTCTTGGCAGCGATCACATCTTCTAACAAGAGTCTGGTTGCAAGGTAAAAGCCATCAAGCATATCACTCCTTCTCCAATAATTTACATCGTACAGATGATGATCAGGGACAAACAAATGAATTCGCTAGCATCAAGAGTGATCGAAAATACCAGCAATATCCTTTTAGCGCTGATTTTGTCATTCCGAGGATAGCAATCATTAATGCTAGTAATTTCGAATCCAATGCTAGTTCCGTCCATTTATATGATGACTGCATTCCAAAAAGATTTTCTACAATTAATATGGGTCAATCATCCGATCAATATTTGGATATTTTATATGCTAATACAAGAACTAGAAGTCTTAGTGAAGCCGATTCCAGTCAGGGTAGATCTCCAATAGGTTTTACGCTTGAAGAAGACGAACTGGAAGAAAAATTAGAAGATGAGGAAATGAAAGTGAATAAACAGTTCTCTGAAATTTTGTTGGGCGGTGAATATACTTCTTTGTCAGAACATGAGACAAAACAATTGAAGGGCACTGATATTACGTCACAAACACATAGGATCACTAATCCTATTCTTGTAACAATTGAAGCTGGACAAGAAATTATGCCGACTGCATCGAGAAATACCACAAGGAGTAACTCAATACAGAGTCAAGAAGCTAATATCAGTTTGAAATTAAAAGCTTATAACAAAGTTACAGAGAGATGTAAGCACAACATCATTGAAAGAAAAGGTCGTTGTGAAAAATGCTGTGTCGTTTCATAATATAAATACCTTTTAATATATATCCTAGAATAATAATGAGTAACTTAAGTATATGCTTATACAAATGATTACAAAATATTATTTTTAGATAACTCTATATATAAAACATCCAATAATATATAAAGTGCCAGAGTTTTTCTTTTCTCTGAAAAGATTCTCCCATATCAATGGTGGTTTTCCAATAAACATTTAATAGTGATCATATATTAGTAAACATTTAACAATTTTCAATTTACTATTATTAACTGATTTTTTAACTATATACACCACACATACAAACAAAAAAAAAGAAGCAAACAAATGAAAGTTTATATTTATGTAAATAGAATTTAGGAAGATTTTAATAATTATTATAAACTTTTTTAACACATGACATATATACATGAATACGTAAGAAAAATTTTGGAATCATTTATTTGATTAAAATCTATATTAATGAGAACTACATTATATAAATAGTAAAAATGATATGATCCTACATTTGAACAAATATTAATTAATAAAATTAACAAAATAAAATAATTAATAAAATAATTTCATTTAAGACATTTAAATTTGTTTATTGGAACCTCACTTAAGTAAAAAGCTGACGGTTATACAATTAAATAATGATATTTAATAAAATATATTTATAATACAAAATTTCATACAGTTTTACATTATATGATTACTATTTTCGTAAATTATTTTCTTTCGTTGGTTTTCTTTCATTGTTTCTCAAATATTCATAAAATTTATATATAACTGTATTAGTTTTTAAAAATTATTGAACTTTTATATCATAAAATTACATATAAGATAATTACAAATGTAGTTCCTATTTATCTAATGAATTTGAAGTATTAATAAGCAGAAACATATCAGTTTCAAATATTGATATTTACATAATAAAATAAAACTAAAATAATTAATTTAAAATATGTTCTGCGTGAAATAGTGGACTGATATTATAATTTTTAATTAAATGGTTATATATTTATTATACAGCAATTATATATTCAATTATATTATGCATGAAAACTTCAGCCACCTTATACCTGCTTAAAGCTTTATAATATATTTATATAAATTTATATTTTATAAAGTCTAGAAATATCACACCTATAACTGTATCCGAAAAATATTAAATATTGGTAATTTATCAAACATTTTATTTCTTTCTTATCTTCAAACGTGAATTAGTTAATTTGAGTACAAAAAATGAAATTTTTATTGTGCACTATTCTCTAAGCTTTCTTAATAGACGTTGATATGGAATCATAAATTTTTTAAAGAAATTATGACAATATAAAACTGAAATTTTATTTTTTGAGTTAACTTTAGTAAACAAATAGTCTACTTTCTTATCAGCGAAATTAATAAAAAATGTTTAAATAATTAGATATATAAAGTTTCAAATTTGTAACAAAAATAAAACTGATATAGTAATATATTAAAACAGCATGATGGGTCTCTTAAATATATTAGAAATATATAAAATGCAACAGTCTTATTTTTATTGATCTTATTGTTCTTATATTAAGTATTATTCAATATTTAAATAACTTATAAAAGTAATTTTCTTAATAATAAATTTTAATAATAAATTATTTATGTTTATGAACAATTTGTAAAATTGTATATCCTAATATATAGAATTATGCAATTACATAATTATCATAATTTACATTTATCATGAATTTTTAAATAAAAGTAATTCAATAAATACGCTTATATTAATCAAATGTACAAATATACAGATAATTACAGAAGTTTAGAAATAAACTAGTTTAATTATTAACTATTATGAATTTTCATGAATACTCTAATATAACCATAATTCATTTTGAATATACCTGGAATTTAATAATATTATACGAAAAATTATATGTTTCAGAATCAGAGTTGATTCTCATAATAATTCAGAGGAATACTATTTACTGCATGTCGCGAACATCCTATGAAAAAAATATAATTCAAACTTATTTTAAATGAAAAATTGTAACATAATAGTCAATTGAATTGAAAAGTAATTTTTTGTGGTTATGAGAAAAATTGTAAATAAAAACTTATTTAAAAAATTTTTAAAATCATAAATAATAATATTATTTTACCTTTTTTTTAAGTGATAGAAGATGTTTTGAAGAAAAAGAAAACATTAATACTTAAAAACATATACTTAAGATTGACATATCAAGTATATGAATAATGTGGGTAAATATAACTTATAAAATTCTTTATTAGGCCAATATATTCGAGTTGAAACAATTTATACAGTCTATATATATATATATATATATACAGATTTATACATATGTATATTTAAGTAAAGAAATGAAAACTTTGAGTACCTATTATCCCAAATTATAATTATGAATTAAATTCTCGAATTTTATACATAAGTTATATTAAATAAATATAAGTATCAATATATGCCTGTTTATAATTTATCTTTTTGTTTAATCGTAAAAGTCATCGTTTGCGATCCTACATTTCTGTAAATTGAACGTTCGCTTCTCTATTCAAGTATTATAATATATTTTATTTGAATGAATACTTCGACTAAAAAGTCAATAAGAATGAATTTAGAGACTCAGTTCAAAATATTATTCTTACATGCACATACTCAGGGCACATTATTTTTTATTTAAAAGATTAAACATTTATTCAATAATTTAATATTAAAATCTTTTGGGTTTAATAAAATTTAAATATTTTTATTAAAATTGTTGTATCTAATTTAAAAAATCGAAGAATTCGAAAATTCCTTTTATATTTAATATATATATATTCTTTTATATATACTAGGAAAACAAAATTAATTTTTCCTGTTTGCTCAATATTTACTTTAGTATAAATTTAAACATTCTCATATCATTTTATGAAAATTATAAATAAACATCACATGTAGATCAACATAACTGATATGTTACATAATTGAAAGCTATAAAATAATGTCAAATGTTGATTAAAATTATTTTTACATAGATTTTGAATTAAATAATTTTATATATAAAATAAAAATAATATAACTATTTTAAATACATATGAACTTTACTAAAAAATTTTAATATATTTAATATATATATATTAATGATTATTTAATATATAAATTCTATTTTTCATAGAAAATTTATGTAAGAATTAATATTAGAAATATTATATGTAGATAACAGATATTTATAGAATCAACGGAATAAATTTCAAATATTACATGTAAAAATTGTCTGAAAAAATAAAATTAAAGCTGCCAAAATAAAACTTTAAAGGATATATTATACTTCTAATTTTTTTAATTACTTTATATTATATAAATTTATATAAATAAATATTTAATGTAAATACTTATAGTTAAATTAATAAATCAAATGCCTTTGATAAAATTTTTATATTAATATAATGCGCAATAAAATTTAATCACATTGATTATCCCCTCTTAAATATAAAAACTAATTTTCTTCAAAATCATTTATTTCTCATGTATTTATAACTGCTAAAACATTTTAACTCAACACTATCTTTTGAATCTTAAAACCGGTATAAAAAAGATAGACTTGGTAAAATCCCATGAATTTTTTAACAACAGTTTTTATAAATATCAATCTAATAAATTTTCAATAAACAAATTTAATAATAAGAATTTTTCTTTAACATCTACGTATATTAAAAATAGAAAATAAATATAAATTAATTGACCTTCTTAGAAAAGATGTCATGTTTCTTAATTTAGAAAATAATGTGCACTAATCAAATCGACATAAATTGCTCATATAAAAATGTATCATAAAAATTGTCATCATGTTCTATTGAGATAGTAACCAAAAGCTATGTTTGTAACTTTCATGTGACAAATATTGTTAAGTTGATATTCCAAAATTGTAATATCATTATTCAATATATTTATGTATGTGACTGATAACTTATCTGTGAAAAAAAAAGATAAATATCCTTGTTGTATCCATTGATATAACAATTTAACAATTTAAATTTTTTTGTGATACTAATAAGAATTAATCATTAATAAATAAGAAAAATGTATTAAAAAATCAAAATATTTTTATACAATATATTACGATATATTTTATTGTATGAAAAATATATATGGATAATTTTGTTAAAATCAAATTAATAGACTTATAACCGAAAAACGATTTATAAAAAATTCCAAAGACATAGAATACGTACTTTCACAGTTACTTTTTAATAATTGTGCTGACTGCTTTCAGACTATTGTTTTCATACCACTATTAATTTTATCATACATTTATTATTATATTAATATTAACATTAATATAATAATAATATAATAGTAATAATATTCTGTTATTTGATTAGATTTTATTATTGAAATTATTTTTACAAATATTTATATTTCAATAATAATAACATGTATTGAGTGTAATTTTTACAATTCAAAGTAATTTGTATATTTTAAATTTCAAATATTTCAAATGTATAATTTATAAATAAATTCACAATCAAAAATTTACTGAATTAATCGTTGATATATATAAAGATTCAATTGTCTTACTTTATAAAAATATTTGAGAAAAACTTCCTTCATAATTGAAAATTATGTAAGAATATTTAAGGAATTATAAAATCTTGTTTTAGATTCTTGTAAAATGTCTTAATATTACATACTGAAAATATGTAGAGGTTAAAGCATATAAACAACATTTAAAAATTTAAATAACTGTAGAATACGAATTATTTATTAAGAAAATAACACTCGAACATTATTAAAGTTAAACCTAGTTCAAAGGATCCACCAAGTAATAATATTTATTCGAAATTTTTTCAGTGTTAGAAATATGAGTATAAATATATTTATGATTATGTAATAAAATAATTAAATAGTTTACACTTTATTATTGGAATATCCTGTTTTAATAGAAGATAACATACAATTTCGATCCTTGTCGGAAAACTTACTGTAAACATAGTAAACTGTTGTTATAATATTTAAACAAAGTTTTAAATGTTAAATTTTAATAATGCGTCTGCAAATAATCCAGATTCACATAATA